ATGTTTGCCATGTGTGGCTGTCGTGAAGGTTGTCCCTGGGCGAACACGAACGTGCTTGCCACGAACACGTTCGTGTTCTCCAATGCCAGCAAGGTGTTGGCCTTCGCGGGCGAACACCAAACACCTTTTTTTCCAGAAGGTGTTCGGTGGACCGAATGGTGTTCGTGCAGGGGCGAACGCGAACTCGCCCCTTGCTCATCCCTAGTCATGTGCCAGGATCATAATAATTTGTCATTGCTCTCACCTTTGCTCATCATCCTTGTGTCTCTAGTGCTCTTTTTCCACCTTCCACCCGCTACACAATGTGCATCTTTCTGTTCGTCCCACTTCTGAATTCCCTGTTGGGTTGGTCTAACCACTCATTCTACTTCATTTCTTTAACTGAATTATGCATGAGACTAACCATTTATTATGTCCAATTCCTACCCTTGTGCCAGAAATTTTGACGACAATAAGCTTTCTGGGCCTATTCCGGTTGGAATTGGAAACCTCAACAAATTGTCCTGGCTGTGAGTTGCTAAAATTTTGCTGCTACTGGGACCCACAATTTGCTGAAAAAAAAAACAATGTGCTTCATCTTTTCCACGTACGCGCTGCTTACTTAAAGCCACACCCCCCCCACCCTGCAGCTCGTTTTTCTCTGTTGCCAATTTATGCCTCCTGCCATGCTCGCATCATCACCCCTGTGGATCACTTGTGTGTGTATGCTTGCTGTCCCTCTGGCCATCCCCACTAATCTCATGCAGTTCTCTCCAATACAATGCCTTGACCGGCTCTATACCAGCCACCATGAGCATGCTTACTAACCTAAATTTCCTGTAAGAGCCCAAACTGAATGATCTGCCAAGGTTATTCATCACTTATGCTCATGTGATCAACTCGTTGTGTCTCTAGATATCTTTCTGCCCAGTCGAAAGATATGCTTGTCTATTTGGCAACTGAGCAGCTAATGAGTAGGAGTTGAATCAGTAGCCCAGTTGAATGAGTAGCTTGTACTTCATAAGATTCGCAGAGCTATCTTTTGAGTCTTGTCATAGTTCCTTCCTCTGCCACCAAAGATCTGTTGCAAAATAATCTTACCAGACCTATTCCCGCTGGATTGGGAAACCTCATCACATTAAACTACTTGTAAGCCACAATACTAGGCTGTTTTTATAGACTGATACTGCGTGTATTGAATGCTGCTTTCTGAAAAAAGAAAGGCAATATGTTTTCGTCTGAATAACTCTTCCAATGATTGGGCAAATGATTATTGATGATACGAGGCAAGATGGCATCCTTTGCATCTTCATTGTCCACCCCAGCATCCTCCAAGTCAATTCCATGTTCTCCTCGTTCCCGCCTCTTCTCCCTCACAGCCCGCGGCAAAATCTATGCTGATTTTCCCCAATCTCCTTCCACCTCATTCTCTTATGTGCCCCACAAAATGCTTCACAACCATCCTCAACCCATCACTCCCTTGGTGGCTTGTGTGCTTGCTGTCCCTCTGGCCATGCCCACAAGTCCCATCTCCTCACTTCTACCAACCTAACTACATACACACACAGGTATCTCACGTACAACAAGTTGACGGGCTCCATTCCCAATGGCATGTCTTCACTTACTGCTCTCGATGCTCTGTACGAACGAAGCATCTTGTCATTTGTCTATGCCTCAATATGAATCCACTTGTTTAGGCTTTATGTAAAGAATGAGAGGAGTGGTAATGACCTTGAGCAGGCTGCTTAGGGACTTCAAACTTGCATTCAAAGGGATGGTTGTGTTGCTGGTCACAGCATCCCGTGCCAGAGTTATTTCTCCCGAAAGGATCGTCAATTGCTTCTGTTTATTTACAGGATTAAAATAAACTCTATTGCTATGATTGGCTAGCATTCAAAACGTATGGCTCTCCCTCCCTCTACTTTTTCCTTCTCCTTCATCCTGGGCTGCTGTTCACCATTATCTGTCAGGCGTATGACTGGGAATCACTTGGATGGAACCATTCCGTCCTTTCTCAACTTAAATGTTATGTAAGTAGCATAACAACAAACATTGGATATCCCAGCCGTGATTGGCTTTCGGGTCGGCAGAATTGAGATTTTTGTACGGCTAGTTGCACCGAAACAGCTCTGTCTCATCATCAATATCGCTTGCATATGCATCCTGTCCCTTCTGGCCATGCCCACAAGTCTTATTTCTTCACTTCTGCTAACCTGCCTACTTTCCCACAGAGAACTATCGAACAACGCTTTGACGGGTTCCATACCCAGCAGCATCTTCTCACCTGATCTAGTTTCTCTGTATGAAGCGCCTTCTCGATCGTTTATGCTTCAATACAAACCAACTTGCTTTGGCCTCAAGTTAAGCATGAGATGAGAGGAGTGATAATGACCTTGAGTTGGTTGCATGGGGACATAAACATGTGTTCAAAGGGACTGCTGAGTTCCCGGTCATAGTACCCTGATTTATATTACTGTTTCGGTGACCGCAATGACCATTGACTGCTTCTGTTCATTAAACTCTATTGCAATAATTGGCCAGCATTTGGAACGCATGGCTCTCCCTCCGTCTTCATTCTCATTTTCCTTCATCCCGGGCTATTGTTCTCCATCGCCCGCCAGGTGTCTAGACAGGAATTACTTGAACGGGACCATCCCATCTTCTCTAGGGAACGTATACGGCTTGATGGACTTGTAAGTATCATGGCAAGAAACTTTGGATACCTCAGCCATGATTGGTTTTGGGTTGACAATATTGAAACTACCTAACAAGCTCCGTTTCATCAATGTCGCTTGTGTGTGCTTCCTCTCCCTCTGGCCATGCCCACAAGTCTCATCTCTTCACTTCAACCACCTACTTACCCACACACACAGGTATCTCTCGAACAACGCCTTCACGGGTTCCATTCCCAACAGCATCTCCTCACTTGTTTATCTCCGTTATCTGTATGAAGCCCTTTGTCGATTCTCTACGCCTCAAAACGGAGCAACTTTCTTAGGCCTTGTGCTAAGCTTGAGAGGAGTGATAAGTACCTTCAATTGGCTGTTTAAGCACTTCAACTTGCGTTAAAGGGGATGGTTGTGTTGCCATCCTCAACAACTAATGCCACAATTGTTTTTGTAACCAAAAACACCAGTGATTGCTTCTGTTCATTTCCGAGGTTGAAAATCGGATCCACTGATATTATTAGCAAGCATTGAAAACGAATGACCCTCCCTCCCTCTTCATTCTCCTTCTCCTTTATTCCCGGCTGTTGTTCTTAATCATCTGAGAGGCATCTCAATGGGAATCACTTGAATGGAACCATTCCATCCTCTCTATGGCCCTTACTTGAATTATCGAGCATGTAAATGTCTTGGCAACAATCTCTGGATATCCCAGCCATGATTGGCTTTGGGGTTGGCAGCATTGAGAGAACCTTATGGCTATTTTCACTTCCTAATCAGCTTTGTTTCATCAATAACGCTTGTGTGTGCTTGTTGTCCCTCTGGCCATGCCCACCAGTCTCATCTCTTCACTTTCGCCGACCTACTTACCCACACGTACAGGGAACTCTCGAACAACTCTTTGACGGGCTCCATTCCCAACAGCATCTTTTCGCTTTCTAGCCTCGCTGTTTTGTATGAAGTACCTTGTCTATTGACTATGCCTCAATACGAAGAAACATGCTTATGCTTAATGCTAAGCATGAGAGCAGAGGTAAGGACTTTGAGTTGGCTGGTTCGGGACTTCAACTTACGTCAAAGGGATGGTTGTGTTGTCTGTCATAACGTGCCACAATTGTTTTTGTAACCAAAAGGTCTGTTGATTGCTTCTGTTCGTTTCCATTAAACATTGAAATACAATCCGTTGAAATTATTGGCCAGCATTTAGAACACATGACACTCCCTCCCTTTTCATCCCCCTTCTCCTTCATCTCGGGCTGTTGTCCTTCATCATCTGTCAGGCGTCTAAATGGGAATCACTTGAATGGAACCATCCCGTCCCCACTACAGGCTTTATTCTTCATGCAAGACTTGTAAGTATTATGGCAACAGTCTCTTGACTGTTGATTGCTTCTGTTCATTTTCAGAGCTGAAACAAATTCCATTGATATATTTGGCCAGCGGTTGGAACACATGCCCTCCTTCCCTTTTCGTTCCCCTTCTCCTTCATTCGGGCTGTTCTTCATCTTTTGTTACTTGAATGGAACTATTCCGTCCTCTCTAGAAGCCTCACTCGACTTGGAGGGTCTTTAAGTATCATAGCAACAAACTTTGAATAGCAAAGCCATGATTGGCTTTGGGGTTGACAACATTGAAAGAACCGTATGGCTAGTTGCACTACCTAAACAGCTTGGATTTATCAATATCGTTTCTGTGTGCTTGCTGTTATACCTGTGCAACGAGGCGAGCATGAGTAATGCTCGACTCGTCCCTAGCCATGCTCGGCCGAGTACGAGCCCGAGTCGAGTAATACTCGACCGAGCAATTTTCCCCCAAACAGATACTCGTTACTCGCCTTCTTTAGGGAAACTCGGGCGAGCAATTTGAAAAACTCGTCCGAGTACGAGTAATGCTCGGCCATGCCCCCTATAGGGGCATAGAACGACTTTGTACATAACGCCTAGTGAAGTCCATTGGTACCACGTAGTATTTGGGTTTCCAGGGCCGGCCAGGTAAATCCAAGGTGGTCCATGGTGGCCTAGGGAAGCCCATGAAAGTCCTGGCCTGGGTCGCCCCTGGGTACCCTTGGGCTGCCTAGGTAAGCCCATGGAAGCCTGCTTAGACCTGGACAGACCTCGCGGGCAGGCCACCAGGGGAACGCATGGGTGTTTTCACAACCCTACGGATTCATGAGAGTCACCAACTATTCCAACTACACACATAATAATTTAACTTAGGCCAGGTCTTGCGCCCTGGTGAGCGTAAGCATCAAGTGATCTCAAGCAATAAATAGTGCCCTGCTAGGTTTCCTCCCACACACACCAGCCCATGTCATCCCCCCCCATCCCTTACCACAAACCAGTCCACCCCACACCATCACTTCGGCTGTTCTTCATCCATCTCCACCCCTACGGCATATGCCTCCGCCAGCTCTAGCAGTTTCGCCGCCGCCTTCCCCAACTTGCACCCTGTGTTCAAGTCCACCCAGGACTTGAGAATCATACACGCTCGGACGCGCTCAGGTCCCAGGCTATGCCTCTGCCATGTGATTAGATTGCGGCCACGCAAAAATTTGCGCTCACTCGTAGTCGACGTTGCTGGTATGGCGAGGTAGTCTAGGGCCATAGCCTGAAGCCCCTCAAGTTCATTCCTGTGACGCCAATACGATAGGGGACAGGTCCCCAAAGGCTCCAATCGCTCGTCGATGTAAATCTGCACCTCGTCCCTGACGGACTCCTCCTGGCGGCTACGGTACTCCTCTAATCTTGCCCTCAAGCTCCGTCTATCCCCGTCTACACCACCGAATGAATCGATGGCTGGGCGGCCGCCTGCAGCACCCCCCTTTCTGCCAACTCCACCCCCCCGGCCAGAGGAGCTCCCTCCTGATGAATTCCCCCCTCCCCTTCCGCGTGCACCATGACCAGCCCCCTCTGCCCTCTCTCGTTTCTCCCTGGCCGCCACCGCCTTTGCCTTGTACGGTACCAACTTCGCCCGTACCAAGGCGAGCACCCTTTCCGCTACAACATGCTGTACCCCCCCCGGCCTCTCACTCTCCTCTCCCCCCTCACCATCCATCTCGAAGTACCCGATCTTGAAGCTTGGGTCAAGAAAGGCGGCAACCCAAAGCTCATCACTGCTGCTCGAGCAGTACTCCATCAGCTTCTCCTCTTCCTTAGTGATGCAGTCCTTCATGACCCCTGATGGGGGGGAGGAGACACTGTTTTTGAGGGTGTCTAGGCCGTCCAACAGTTCATTGAACTGCGGGACAACCCTGGAGATCGTGGGGGTACTTGGACCCCTCAGCGGCGAGGCTCACGGCATGGAATGGCTTAAGGAAGGCTGCAAGCTCTTCCAAAGCCAACCACTGTTCCGAGGAGAGGGTGAGGGCCTGGAGGCGTTTGACATCCTTGGCGGTGAGAATTGCCTGTTAGGGCGGAATGTTAGTGGACAAACAAAAGACAGCATTGATGTTGTAGGTATGGGCACGGAAGAGATGTGGTTTGATGGTAAACATTCTGCAGCAGCACACACCAAAGCTCAGTGGGGAAGACACCATAGCCAGCCGCTATACCTCAGTCTATCTACTTGCTTACTGGAGCTTTGTGGTAGAAGGTCTCGATGGCACTTCGAAGTCGAAGCGCGCGCTCGAGCATGAGGTAGGTCGAGCCCCACCGCACCTCATTGTCCCCGCGAAGACGCAATATCATGGCCTTCTCATCAGCACGCTTCTGGATCTTCTCGAACAGGGTTGTCCTCTTGGGCGATAACCCAATGAAGGACGCTAGGTCTCTAACGATCCCTAGCGGCTCCTTGATATCGAGCACTGTCTTCAGCCCTAGCTGGATTGCTAGGTTGCAAATGTGGCCCATGCACCTGGTGTTCGGGTTGCATGATTGCAAGAGAAGGCGCACACACTGGAATGATCACGAGTACCGCACGCACACAAACACAACACGGCACAGAGCCACCGTGTGTGCAAGAGGTAAACCAACTTGAAGTCTCTCACGTGCATCCCGGAGAAGAACAAGGGCGGCTGACGGTCGGTTGGCCCCCCACGGCAAAGGAACTCCATCGCTGCGACATTGGCCGACGCGTTGTCGGATGTCACAGCAATGCACGGCTTCTCCAAGTTCCACTCCTTCACCACATCGAGCAGCACCTCGATGATCCTCGCGCTAGTGTGCTTGCCGGGCATAGCACGGAAGTCGAGGGTTATCTGCATGAGCTCAAACTTCTCATTCACGAAGTGACCTGTCACTGATATACACGACCGGTGATTCTCACCGGTCCATATGTCATGCGTATGTGCAACAGCCCCTACCCCGTCAGCAGCAAGCATCTCCATGAGCTTGATCCTTGCCAGCCCTGCCAGGCGGATGATTTGGCGGGCTAGGGTGGAGCGCGAGGGAATTACTTTCTCCACGGCACACTCGGGATTGGCGGCCGCCATCATATTGCAAAACTGCCATCAAGAAGGGGTGTGGGGGGTGGGTACATAAGTAGCAGCACACTGAATGACGATCTACGGGACAATCACTGTTGGTTTGTGGTTAAGAAGAGTGTGGTGATGGTATGGTGGTGGGCTCACCGTCGGGTGTTCCACCACAGTGAATGCCCGGTCGGTGGCGACCACCCACTCGCACATGGCCTACTGCAGATAGTCCTTGTCGAAGCGCTTGGGGTAGGTCTGCGTGATCAGCTGCTGCCCCTTCCTCGCTGGCACCCCGTCAGTGGGCGGCGCTAGCCAAGTATCTGCGCCTACCCATTTCATGCCCCCGTCCAGAACCTCGTCGTCAATCCCATACCCCCCCTCTGGGAAGTGGTCGTTTTGGCCCACCTCCCCACCATGGAACTTCCGCAACCATATGATCCAGTGGTTGAGGTGCTGCCCCTGCATGTGAGTCCCGTCGGTCGTGCAGTTGGTTCCGGCAAAGGAGATCTCCATATTGCACTTGCGACATCGACGCTTCTCCTTCGGATGGTCAGGAATCTTCTCAAAACATCGGGTGACGTACCCCGTTAGAACCTTGGGCTTGGGTGGTGTGGCATTAGAGTGCACGGATGGGGTGGCAACACCATCCTCGGAAGTGTCTTCCCTCCGAATCTGCCCTCCCCCTCGAACACCGGAACTACCACGCCCCCTCCCTCTCCCTCGCCCACCCCCTTTCCCCCGGCCGCCCCCTTTCCCCCCCCCACCTCGACCGCCTGCTGCCTTCTTACCCTTCCCATTTCCACCCCGTCTCCTCTTAGCTCTCTCCCCCCCATCTCCCTCTGTATCCTCCATCCCTTCCTCTTCCAAATCGTCGTAGTCCTCAGCGTTGTCGTCCTCCGCCTCCTCTCCGTCACCGGTGTACACCTCCTCCTCGGAGTCGTCACCGCTCCCCTCCTCCGAATCCCCTTCTTCCTCCTCGGCATCCCCCTCCTCTTCCTCCTCGGCATCCCCCTCCTCTTCCTCCTCGGCATCCCCCTCCGCTTCCTCGTCCTTCTCTTCGTCGGCCGCCACCATCTCCTCATCCGCCTCATCCTCGTCACCATCTGCGCGAGCACCACCATCATCATCGCCATCGTCCCCTACTGCACCACCGTGCCGTTCGCGATCCTCTCCATCAACCCCGTCCTCCACATTATCGTCACGATGAGTGTCGCGATTTACCCCAGAACTCCCTTCGCCATGACGCTTGTCTACCTTCTTGCCTCCTCCAACCGCCGCTAAAAGTTGCTCACGATGAAACTCCGCTGAGGCCACTTTCAGTTGGCGGAGCTCTAAAGGTGTCATCCCGATCTGCTTCTTCTCGCCACCATTAACTATATCTTTACCACGAGCACCACCGCGACCGCGACCTGCTGCAGCCGGCGCTTTGTTGATCTTAGAGACGCCTTGCTTTGTTCGCGCCATCCTATCAAGGTAAATTTGACCTTCTAATCTAAACGTCCTAGGCCGAGTCAACCCTACAACATGTATCGCAATGTCTAGGTAAGTTTGACGGTCGATCGCGTCTACAATGCTACGTCAATGTCCTACGGATGTGGACGAGCTCGTCCCTTAGAATAGTAGGCGACATTGTTTCGTGCTCAGGTCTTAGCGGTCGCGTAGGCGAAGTGACGGGAGGGAGTACTGAGGGAACGGTACGTGTGTGATCCAAATGAAAGCCATCAGATCTAAAAAGGTTCTTGTCTGGAATGGCGGGAGGGAGAACTGATGGAAAGGTGCGTGCATGAACCCATCAGATCTAAAAACTGGTTGACTAAATTTGTTAGTCTTAAAAACGCACTAGCCTGGCCACTTATCGCCTTTCTAACGCTGCCTATGCTCTCCTCGAGGTCACCTCCAAGGGTCCTCGGGTGCCTGACCAACGTTAGCCCCTATCCAAGGGTCCGAGTATGTAGAGAGAGACTTGCAACACTAGCTTGGTTGTCGCAGCAGGTGTTCCGTCTAGGCATTGTCAAAACTTCTTAATGCTGGCAGCATTGATTCAGCAGGCACGGGAGGAAGAAATCCACTAAAGTTATGTTTTAGAACAACAAGAACACACTGTTATGTACTAGCTTTATTGCTTTCTATTCTACTTTACTCTATTCGTCAAGTTTGCAGTCTCGTTTCTCGCAACGCGAACACTTTCGCGTTTCCCTCCCTGTTTTACTTTGTAACTCGGCGGGCTCCCTATTCGTCGCTGAAGCAATTCAAAAGTCGAGTGCGAATAACTCCAATGGTGCCGATTCGAACTTTACTCTTTCCGCCATCTGCAAACGGTTGCGATAAAGACCGTTCAAATTCTGCATGAGGGGAAATGTCAGTGGCGATCAGCAGAGCTTTCGATCACCCAGCTGCTGCTCGCCACGTGCGTCTCGTTCCGAACGCACTGTTGATCCGAACTGTCAGAGCTGTTCAAAACGTGAGTAACATAACTCACTCGAACATCTCGCCGATCTCGCCACCTGCACTGAAAAACGATTCGTGGGCATATGACGCTCGCGATACATAACACGCTAATGAACACGCTAATGAACGCGCTAATGAACGCGCTAAAGAACACGCTATGAACACGCTAATGAACACGATGCGCGAGTAGGAACCAATCCTGCTCCTCGAACAATGGAGATGCGAGCAGCTACACTCTCGAGCTCATGAGCAACTGTCATTTCGAACAGCAGCCACTCAGAACCACCAAATCAGTTCGTTCAAAAACAAAAAGTCAAACTCGTTCTTTTGAACACCACCAGCCATTCCTATTGGTCGAGACCAGCCTTGACTTTACCTTAATTGTACCAGACTCGCCGCTCAATTCAGCTGCACCTTAAAAAACCTGAACCATAACCTTAAATCGGCAGATTGATTTAAAGAAATGTATTTCTGTAATCAACAAAATTGGCGGGAGGAAAATTTCAACCCAACCAAACCGCAATGTTATCGGTTCGGGTAACGAGACGAGTTTTTTGGTACTCATCGAGCTTAAAATGCTCGGCGAGTTTCCTAAATGCTCGCCAAAAAGCAAGCAAGTACTCGTCTAGCAAAAAAAAACTTGGCGAGTAATACTCGGCTCGACTCGGCCGAGTAAATTTTACAAAAAAAACGAAACTCGTTTCTCGCACCCAAACGAGTAACTCGGCCGAGTCCGAGCGAGTAACTCGACTCGTTGCACAGGTATTGCTGTCCTTCTAGCCATGCCCACCAGACTCATCCTTTCACTTCTACCAACCTACCTGCTCACACACGCAGGGATCTCTCGTACAACGCTTTGACGGGCTCCATTCCCAACAGCATCTCCTCAATTGCTTTTCTCACTTATCTGTAGGAAGCACCTTCTCTATTGCCTATGCCACAATACGAAGCAACTTGTTTAGGCCTCGTGCTAAGCTTGAGAGGAGTGGTAAGTACCTTGAAGGGGCTGCTTAAGAACTTCAACTTGTGTTCAAGGAATGGTTGTGTTGCCAGCCTCAACAACTGATGCCATGATTGTTTTTTGCAACCAAAAACACCACTGATTGCTTCTGCTCATTCCCGGGGCTGAAGCATAATTTATTGGCATGATTAGCCAGCATTTTGAACGCATAACCCTCCCTCCCTCTTCATTCTCCTTCTCGTTCATCCCGGGCTGTTGTTCTTAATTGTTCGTCAGGCGTCTTAATGGGAATCACTTGAATGGAACTATTCCGTCCTCTCTAGAAGCCTCACTCGACTTGGAGGGTCTTTTAAGCATCATAGCAACAAACTTTGAATAGCAAAGCCATGATTGGCTTTGGGGTTGACAACACTGAAAGAACCGTATGGCTAGTTGCTGCACTACCTAAACAACTTTGATTTATCAATATCGTTTGTGTGTGCTTGCTGTCCTTCTAGCCATGCCCACCAGACTCATCCTTTCACTTCTACCAACCTACCTACCCACACACACAGGGATCTCTCGAACAACGTTTTGACGGGCTCCATTCCCAACAGCATCTCCTCACTTGCTGATCTTACTGAAATGTACGAAGCACCTTGTCTATTGTCTGTGCTTCAATACGAAGCAACTTGTTTTGGCATCGTGCTAAGCACGAGAGGAGTGGTAAGGACCTTGAGTGGGATGCTTAGGGACTTCAACTTGCATTTAAAGGGATAGTTGTGTCGCAGGTCACAACACCCCATGCCACTGTTGTTTCTGTAACCAAAAGCCATTGAAATGATTGGCCAGCATGTAGAACGCATGACATTCCCTCCTCCATTCTCCTTCTCCTTCATCATGGGCTGTTGTTCTTCATCTTTTAACAGGCGTCTAAATAGGAATCACTTGAACGGAACCATCCCGTCCTCTCTAGGGGCCTTACTCAATTTGCGGTACCTGTAAGTGTCATGGCAACGGCACCAGGATATCCCAGCCATGACTTGCTACCTGATCAGGTCTGTTTCATTAGAAAATTTCTTGTTCGTAAAGGAGGCTGACCGACTGTGTTTGATTAGAGCACTCTTGTAGGAGAAACACCAGAAAAGCAGTTACCTTCATTTATTTGGATGGTACTGGCAATGTTTGTGGCATGTTTATCCGTAGGGAGCACCCTTGTGGTACCGTCTTCATCTCCCCCCTCCCAAGCGCCTTCCTTGTGTTCCTCCACCCACGTGCTTGTTCTCGCCTTTTCCCGTCTCCACTGGAAAATCCTTCCAGTCGGTTGTTTGTCCCTTGTTATCTCCCACTTAGCCCCACAACTGTTCCCATTTTCACGCTAAGCTCTAATGACGAGGTCCGTGCGGCTGTGTCCATCTCCCCCCTTCCCTATTGCAGCAACATCATCGAGACAAACCTCACGTGCCCACTTGACAACACCCACTGTGGCACAACACAATATCCGAGTACAGCCTTTTGCCAGACGTGTAAATCATTTTGCAAGACTTGCGGCAAACCTGCAGGCAAGTGATTAAAGCAAGTGGTATTGCTTGGTTGCTCTGTGCTCACGATTTGAACACTGTCCCTTATCACTGTTTTGAAGCTTTTTGTCGTAAACAGCTTGCTGTAATTTTCACAGAGTGGTTCTATGCTTGTGCAGGCCCAATCAGGACGAACAGCAGCAGCAACAGCACCAATGGCAGCAGCAACAGCACCAACAGCAGCAGCAACAACACCAACAGCAGCAGCAACAGCACCAACAGCAGCAGCAACAACACCAACGGCAGCAGCAACAGCACCAACGGAACCAGCAACAGCACCAATGGCAGCAGCAACAGCACCAACAGCAGCAGCAACAGCACCAACAGCAGCAGCAACAGCACCAACAGCAGCAGCAACAACACCAACGGCAGCAGCAACAGCACCAATGGAACCAGCAACAGCACCAATGGCAGCAGTAACAGCACCAACGGCAGCAGCAACAGCACCAATGGCAGCAGTAACAGCACCAATGGTAGCGGAAACAGCACCAATGGAAGCAGCAACAGCACCAACGGCAGCAGCAACATCACCAACGGCAGCAGCAACAGCACCAGTGGCAGCAGCAACGGAAGCAATGGCAGCAGCAACAGCACCAACGACAGCAGCAACAGCACCAACGGCAGTGGCAGCAGCAGCAGCAGCAGCGAGTCTACTTCACCAGCAGCATCTGGAAGTGGAGGTGGAGTGTCGGTGGGGGAGTTGGCATTGCTGTTGCTGCTGTGGTCATTCTCCTGCTTCTGGGAACCACTCTGCTTTACTTGAGGCAAAAGCATAAAGCAACCAGAAGAAGTCCACTCTAGATGACCAGACTATGCTAGTGCAGCTATTTCCAGTTGTTTGCTTGCCTTTGGGGTAGTACGGTAAGTGAATGAAAAGAAAGGTTTTAAAGTTATGAACCTAGGCAAGCATGCAAGTTTACAAGTCTAGTCACGACTCGAATTGCCGGTCGGCCACTCATTTTGCCAAATTTTTCCTTGCGGAGGCAGCCTGCCTTCTGAATCTGAAGCAGCGGCTGGACATTCTCATTGGCATGGCACAGGGCGTTGAGTGCCTCCATGGCTTTGCAGCACCGACAGCATGCAGGCAAGCTGAAGCCTGCCAACGTCCTCATCACCGACCGCATGCAAGCAAGCTTGGCTTTTTCGTTGACATTAGGGTGGAATGGCTTGGCGTTTTGTTCCATTCCCAAAGTTTTTCTGTGCAATCAGAGTCAGAACCGTGGGTGAGGAATTGAATAAAACCGGGAGCGCGCATAAATGAGGTATAGAACTCAAATGTCGCTCAGTGGAGCAAGTTCATTTGTATCTTGATTAACTCGCGTGTTAAGGTGTAGACGATCAGGCATTTGTACATTACACCTGCTGATTTGGCATGGTCATGTCTATTGGGTCTTTTCTGTTATTTCGTATTACTTGCAACAAGCATTATTGAACCTCACTAACACATCCGTTCCCTTTACAATGCAAGATCTGCTGATGCAAACATCCCCTCCATGCTATGCATCATGCCACCACATCTATGTGTTCTTAATTCTCACATTTGTCTCATGCTACAAAGCCTCTCAACATATCCACCAGGCCAAGATTGCAGAATTTGGGCTGGTGAGGATGGGAGAGGGCACGACTGTCGGAATGACTCACAACATGGGCACACCGGGCTATGTGGATCTCTACTCCCGAACGTCCAAGGCCAGCCCAGCCAGCGATGTAAATCCCTTTTGGTCTTTTGCATGTGCACAGATGACATACGGGACGGGCAGGGTGCGATGCGACGGGCAGGGAGGCGCGACGCGCGATAGGAGACACGACAGGACGGGCGCGACGGGTGCGAGGGGACGGGGCGGGCGAGACGGGCGCTAGGGGACGAGACGGGCGCTAGGGGATGGGACGGGCGCTACGGGACAGGAAGGGCGCAATGGTAGGGCGCTACAGGCTTGGTAGGCTAGGCGCAACGGGCGTGAGTGGGTCAAGTGGGAGGAACGAGATCCAACAGGATCCTAACCTAGGTGATACCATGTGAGAAACGGAATGATGTCTATATTACTGTGAGTTGGGGTACATAAGTTTAATCCTAACAACTGTACCCCACATAACATGCCTCACTACAGGCTACGACATTTGACACTTCTCCCATTGGTCCAACAATCTTGCGAGAACCAGCGGGCCAATGTTATTTTGTGAAATTTGTTGTGGAAAACGGTAGGAAAACTATAAGAAACGCATTCTCTGGCTTTCATGTTCCCCATGCCATTTCCCCCATGCCATTTCCCCCATGCCATTTCCCCCATGCCATTTCTCCCATGCCATTTCTCCCATGCCATTTCTCCCATGCCATTTCCCCCATGCCATTTCCCCCATGCCATTTCCCCCATGCCATTTCCCCCATGCCATTTCTCCCTCCCGGCCTGCCTCCTAGGCATATGTGCTCTGAGCCCCCTATCTCCTAGGCCCTCTCTCCCCCTCCTGCTTCTGTGCCATTCCTGCTGCCGCTCCTCACCCCTCTCCTTGCTTATATCCCTCTCCTCCCTTGCCTCCTCCTCCTCCTCCACCTCCTCCTCCTCCTCCTCCTCCTCCTCCTCCTCCTCCTCCTCCTCCTCCTCCTCCTCCTCCTCCTCCTCCTCCTCCTCCTCTTCCTCCTCCTCCTCCTCCTCCTCCTCCTCCTCCTCCTCCTCCTCCTCCTCCTCCTCCCCCTCCTCCTCCTCTTCCTCCTCCTCCTCCTCCTCCTCCTCCTCCTCCTCCTCCTCCTCCTCCTCCTCCTCCTCCTCCTCCTCCTCCTCCTCAACATCATCATCATCATCATCGTCGTCGTCGTCGTCGTCCTCATCATCATCATCATCATCATCATCATCATCATCATCATCATCATCATCATCATCATCATCATCATCATCATCATCATCATCATCATCATCATCATCATCATCATCATCATCATCTTCATCATCATCGTCGGATCAAGGCACTTGCCTTAATGTGGATCTCATTTTTCTCCATGCCTATGGCAAGGTGGGCCAGTTTCTGCTGCTGCCGCTGCCGCCACCACAACCGCCCTCGCTCCCACTTCTACTCCTGCACCTGCTGCTTGCTGGTCTCATAACCCTCTCATTTGGATTCTGAACAATCAGGTGTTTGGTCAGGTGAGTGTGTTCTACCTCTGTTCCTGCTCCTGCACATGTTGCTTGATTGTCTCTAACTCTCTGGGTTGAATTCTGAACAATCATATGTTTGGTCAGGTGAGTGTGTTCTACCTCTGTTCCTGCTGCTGCAACTCTCACTCTGTTGTCAACCAGCCTGTTTAGATCTTAAAAAGTAAGGTGTTCCCACAAGTGCCCTGTTCCACTCTAATTCAGACCTTTCCTTGTTTTGCCCCTTCCCCAGCCCCCATATCCACCTCTACCAGATCAAGGCTTGTGATGGGCCGATCGCAGGTGTTGAAGCCATCTCCCTCACGGCATGCTTCCATACGAATCATTTTTATTACATCTGTTCTCACCTTTTTATTTTCTGATGTTTGCATGTACCGTTTGGCCCCGGATATAAGCGCATATGCGCTTATAATAAGTAATGATTTTTTAGGGGTGGCGCTTGTAATTGAGGAACGGCCATAAGCGCCGGCGCTTATAAAATGTCAAATTCCAATTTTGGTTTTCGAAGTATTAAAGTGAAGCCCACAATAAGGCGAACACAACTGTGAACGTTGCGCATGGAATCGTGCATGAAATTCCGGCAAAAACTGCCGCGACTCGATTTCCCACCGCACAGAATCTGTCCTGGAGCAACGCACCTGCCAGCGATGACGTGCATCCTGGCGTGCGGCCCAATAGGGTTTACATGCGCTGCCAGGGTGCCACATTTCACCCGAACTTTCGAGAAGGGGGTGGCATATTCCTGCCAGCGCAGCAGATACGTGCCGCGATTCCCTCCTCTGCGGGTTTAGGCAAGGGGGGATCTGACTATGCCTGAAGAGGAACTCGAGCCGCACACCAGAAGGGGTCCCCTCCAAACCCTCATTTCTTCGCCTTCTCTTTCACTTTTTTCATTCAGATTCTTGGTCTCGCCCGCCATGCTGCGGAAGCCATGGCGGAATTCGCTGGCACTCATTTCTTGTTCAAAAAGAAGCCCGCGCGTAGGCCCGCCTTCGTAGTCGACGCCGACGGATGGTACTCCCGTGTCCCACCTGAACCACCAGAGCCACCACAGCCTCCATCGCCTCCTGCGCCGCCTGCTCCTCCTGCTCCTCCTTTGCCGCCTGCGCCTCCTGCTCCTCCTGTTCCTCCGTCTCCTCCGATTCTGGGATGTCCTCACAACACAGGGGATCCGCCCGTGCTCACGCTCCTGCTCCCGACTGCGTTCGACGAGTGGCTGGAGGAACCGGAAAGCAACAAGGCCCAAGATGTTGAGGTACCCGGTGCACCTTACCCTGGACCACGTTGGGGCCGGCCCGATGATTGCACCACGTGGGACGAATCTGCACTCGGAGCTGACGACGACGTGGCTGAGGACGAGGAAGCGAGCCGTGCTGACGGCGACGAGGAAGCGAGCCGTGCTGACGGCGATGAGGCTGAGGAAGGTGGCGCGCAGGGCGGCACCGCTGAGGATGTGTTTCCTGAGGGCGTACCTGGTGGCGACGACGACGACGGTGTCCAGTACTGGTCACGTGACGGGCTCCCCGAGGAACTGCCGATACCTTCCTTTCCACCAGCTAACCGCAAGCGACCCCACCCGTCTACCCAGAACCGTGATGCCCGCCCCCCCTCTCCCAGGCACAAGATCAGTGATCACAAGCGCAAAGGCTACACCGCTGCGGAGAAGTTGAAGTACGTCGCGATGCTGGATGTGGCGAAGTCGGTGCGCGCACTAGCTCGGGAGTGTGGGATTCACCGGAAGTGTCTCGCCAACTGGAAGGTGGCAGCGGGGTTTCTCAAAGAAGCACACTCCGGGCGGAAGCGCATGCACGGTCGCGGGCGGGCCTCGTGGTACCGCTCCATGGAGTTGAAGGTGTACGAGCGGCTCCTGGACTGGCGCCGCAAAGGAACCGCCGTGTCGGTCGGCCGTCTGCGGGAGTGGTCGAGGGAGTTCATGAAGATCCTCTACCCGGACGTCAAGTGGAGCGGGAGTCAGAGATGGTCGGAGCGGTTTCGGAAGCGGTGGAATCTGAGCGTCCGCATGAAGACGCGGGTTGCTCAGAAAACAGCCGCTCGTAAGATTACGCCCCTTGCCGTTATGTCTAAGTTTCAGGTTCACTTACTAAACTGCCGTCTATCCCGCCCGCTTTCACCCATCTCACAGATCTTGCGGAGCAGTGCCAGAAATTCTGGCGTTTTGTCCGACACATGCGTCGCGCGCGCGGCATCGAGCCATGCTGGATCCTCAACGCTGACCAGACGCCGCTCTGGCTGGAGATGCCCGCCACCACGACCGTGGATCAGACGGGCGTACGGTCGGTGCCCATCCGGAGTGCAGGTTACCAGAAGGAGCGTGTGACCGTGATGCTGGCGTGCACGGCGGACGGGGCGAAGCTCAAGCCGTGGGTATTTTTCAAGCGGAAGACGCTGCCGAAGGGCAACTTTCCTCCTGGTAATAAGTAGCAACTACCGCTGTCTTACCGTATCGTTTCTCATGCCGCGCTAAGTTTAAGTGCCATTTCTGTGTGCAGATGTGGTCGTGGCTTGCCACGAAAACGGGTGGATGAACGCAGAAGGCGTCATCCGCTGGCTTGAGGAGTGTGTCAAGCCCTTCTTGCAGCCCCGATTTGGTAGGTGTGCGAAGAGCTCTATGCTCGTGCTGGATTCCTACCGCGACCACCTTACCGAGGGGGTGAAGGAGAAGCTCCGCGAGATCAACTGCGTGCCTGCTGTCATCCCGTCGGGTTGTACGGGTGAGGTTCAGCCACTCGACGTCTCCATCAACAAGAGCTTCAAAGCATCTGTTCGTCAGCAGTACCAGAAGTGGTTTCAGGAGGAGGGCCAAGAGCAACTGACACCTGCAGGTACGTTGTTTCCGTTAAACACGCATGTTTATCCCCCTTTCACCCTTGGTCACTGACATGGCTTTCCCGGGTGTCTCTGTTGCGGTGCAGGGAATCTGAAGAAGCCCCCCCCAGAAGTGGTCCTTCGATGGATTTCACAAGCCTGGAAAGCAGTACCCTCCGACCTCGTCAAGCGCGCCTTCCTCACCTGCGGCATTAGCAACGCGCTTGACGGCAGTGAGGACCACCTCGCCATGGCGCACAGGCGGAGCCAACTGACGGCGGAAGTGGATGTAGACGACGGCATCATCGCCGACGGATTCTTCGGCAACAACTGCCAGGAGCCCGAGTCTGACGAGGAGTAGTACCGGTAGAATAGCAGATTAAGTCTAAAATTGTGTACCCAGGTAGAATAGCAGATTAAGTATAAAATTGTACTAACTTGTAGTATTCGTTGAAGATAACGATGTTAATAGTTGTTGTTTGCTTTTGTTGTGGTGGTAAAAAAAGTGTTAATATTGAGGGTGGCGCTTATAATAAGGAAGGGTACAAAAGGGGTGGCGCTTATAATCGAGGATCGGCCATAAGCGCCATGCTCCAGATAGAAGCGCCGGCGCCTGTAATAGGCCGGCGCCTATATCCGGGGCCATACGGTAACACTCTTTTCTCCAATTCTCTTCCTCTACCCAAACCCCCTTGAGCAGGCCTTACCAATACTACTCCCAAACCCTGCTCAAGGGGCGGAAATGTATTGATCAGCCACAAAGCATGAAACAAATGGCCAACTACCTTTACCACAACATCATCCAACAAGTGGTCTATGTTGTTGTTCCATGACCTCCAACAGCACAACATCCTCTCCATATACGGTACCATCCACATGCAAATCAATCCGTGCAGAACCCAGTCACTCCAATGCTATTCTAATAGAAGTACTTATCATCCACACCACATTCATCAACAGTCAATCGGAAAACGCTACTAAACACCATCACTTTTAGGTGGGCTGCTTAGAGCTTTCCTCTTACCATGCTTCACACGGGATTTTCCTCAGCAAAGCTGTCCCCAATCATCTGGATTTCTGCGTCGAGGCTCTCGATACCCAAGAAAGCGTCCTTCATCTCCTGAACCTGATTATCCACCTTCACAGCCGCGCTAAGCTCCTCCTTCCCCACCACTTCATCCCGGATAGCCTGCAGCTCGTTGGCGATTTGTGCCATGCTTGGGCGCCCTGCAGTGCGCTCTCCGGTGCAGGAGAGGGCGAGCTGAGCCACACGCAGCACAGCATCCGCAGGGGCATCTAGATTGGGGTCCTTGAGGCTCCCCAACTCACCCGAGGACAGGCACTCAGATGCCTGGAAGGAAGAAATGACAGACGGAAGGGGATGGGGTGGGAGAGCTCACAAATGGGAGGAGGGAGTTGACGAGTCGACACATCAAATAGTATGAAAGGAAGGCACGCGTAGACTGCTTGTAAGAATGTGAAATCACGGGACTATGTGGAAAGGTGGACATGGTAAGCACTTGACCGAAAGAAAAACCCAAAGTAATCCCTCTGAGAACACCTAAAAACATTACCCATGGGGTAATTTGCTGGCTCTTGCCCGCAGTCTCTGAAATAGGGGCCTGTCCGGTGAGCACCACCAACATGAGTACTCCAAAGCTGAAAAAACAACACACATGTTCAAAGGCACTGATTCTGAGATCGAAAAGTCGAACCACCTCAAAAGTCAAACTTCAAAGCTGAAAGCCAACACACATGTTCATTCGAAGGCGGACGATGCTGACTATGTTGACTTGGCTAGGCGGACGATGCTGACTATGTTGACAGAGGTGACTTTTGAGTCGACTCAAAAGTCACCTTGCTAACTATTTTGACAGATCACCACATGGCTGACTGAGTCCAGCGAGCATAGTTTTATGTCCATCACGCCCATCACACCCACAAAGAACACGACCAGACAACCATCAGGCCTTGTCTCGTCAGCCAGCATCACCTGCAAGACCTTCTTTCTGTGTCTCCTTGTGTGGCCTTAGGGATGAGCATGAAGGCGGGCCAGGGCCCGCCCGGGCCGGGCCCGGCCCGCCCAGTGCTCAACCCTATGAGGCCTTGTCTGCAAGACCCTCTTTCTGTGTCTCCTTGTGTGGCCTTGTCTGCAAGGCCTCCTGCCTCACCTGTACACATCACTGGCTGCAGTCGCCTTGGACGTTCGGGAGTAGATAGGATCCACATAGCCTGGTGTGCCCATAATGCGTGTCGTTCCCACGGTCGTGCCCTCTCCCATCCTAACCAGCCCAAAGTCTGCAATCTTGGCCTGGAGGGTGCGTTGGGGCGCCATAGGCAAGACAAGGGTGGGATGAGGTGGTGTTACGATGAGACCAGGGCGATTTGATCGATGGTATTGTGTTTGCATCCAGTCAGCTCGAACCACTCTGTCGCCTACTGTGCTGCCCTCTCATCCTCAATAGCCCAAAGTCTGCAATCTTGGCCTGGAGGGTGCGTTGAGAGACATTGTATCATGTGACGACTGCGGGAATGAAGGGCGGATATATGACAGAATGTTTACCTTGGCAGACCTTGCATTGGAAAGTGAAAGGATGTGTTGGTGAGGTTCAACAAATGGTTGTTGCACGGAACAAGGGCATTCAGAGAAAAAAAAAAAAAAAAAAAAAAAAAAAAAAAAAAAAAAAAACCAAGAGACTTGACAATGCCAACCATAGCAGGTGTGTTGTAGCAGTGCCTGATCTAGACTGTAACACGGAGGTTTTTTAAATACTGATCAACATCGTCTCCACTGAACGACACTTGAGTTTCATGCATGAACGCCCCCATTTTCAATCAGTATTTCTCCCAAGGCTTTGATTCTAATTGAACCAGAAACTTAGGGAATAGAACAAAACAATGCATGATGCAATACAATCAAGCCTGCCTGCATGTTTTCGGTGATGAGGACGTTGGCAGGCTTGATGTCGCGATGCACAATCCCAAAGCCGTGGAGATACTCAAAGCCACGTGCCATGCCGATGAGAATGTCCAGCCGCTGCTTCAGAGTCAGAGGGCTGGCTTCCTCTGCAAGGATACACAGCACAGTATGAGTGGCAGTGTAGCGTGTGTGAGTGGCAGTGTAGCGTATGTGAGTGGCAGTGTAGCGTATGTGAGTGGCAGTGCATGTGAGGCCAAGCAAATGGGAAGCAGAGCGTGTGAGTGGTAGAGCGTGTGAGTGGCAGAGCGTGTGAGTGGCAGAGCGTGTGAGTGGCACATTACACACTATGGGAGAGCTGAACATACTTGGATCAATCCATTTGTGAAGGTCGCCATTGGGAACGTATTCATAGATGAGTACTTGCTCTGGCCGCGTCCTTAGGTCTCCTCCGATTGCAAAGCCAAGAAGCCTCACAATGTTGGGGTGGTTCTTGTCGGCCATTTGCTTGATCTGGTTTTTACAGAGGAAAACGTGAGCCACAAAGAAGAAGGAACAGATTGAGAAGTGGAGCACGCAAGAAATATTCAAGAATGGTTCGCAATCGAAGGAGTTTCTGCGTGTTTTTACTAGTGCCTGCAAAAGCTCGTTAGATAAGACTTCAAAAACAGATCTATAACTAGAATGGCAAGGCAACGACAAATGCCATCCCTAAAGCGGCATCCTTAATGCCAACACCAAGCTGCATCACTTTTGAGGAAAGTCAATGTCAGCATAACTCACTGACCTCCTTCCGGAAGTCAATGCCTATGAGCTTGAGTGTGCTCAAAAGTGACTCAGAAGTAAGTTCTCAAAAGTTGCAAAATAAGAATCCTTGAAAGTAACTCGAAAGAGGATTCTCAAAAGTGACTCAAAAGACAGCTCTCACATGTGACTACAAAAATTCTTGAGGTGCCACAAAGGATAGTTCTCGAAATTGCCTCGCTTACCTCCTTCTGGAAGTCCACGTCTATGAGCTTGGCGCGCTTCACAGCCCACACTGTGGTGCCATCACGGGGAGACACGCCCTTGTACACGTCGCCAAAGGCACCCGAGCCCAGCTGGTGGTCCTGAGACCAGTCATTGGTGGCCGTGAGGACCTCCTCCAGTGAGTACTCAGTGCAATGGGACGCTGCCAGGCTGCCCCCCAGGTCTGCTCAGTGGGGTGAAAGGGGGGTGAAAGGAGGCACATCCAGAGATGAGACCTAGCCGACTCAAAAAGCACCCGGCTGGTGGTCCTGAGACCAGTCATTGGTGGCCGTGAGGACCTCTTCCAGTGAGTACTCCATGCAATGAGACGCTGCCAGGCTGCTGCCAGTGCCTGCTCAGGATGCCAGGGGTGAAAGGAGGCACATGAGACCAGCTGGTGGTCCTGCGACCAGTCATTGGTGGCCGTGAGGACCTCTTCCAGTGAGTACTCCGTGCAATGAGACGCTGCCAGGCTGCCCCCCAGGTCTTCTCATGGCGTCAGAGGGGTGAAAGGAGGAACATGCCGAGTTGAGAACAAGTCAAGTCGGTATAGTTGAGTCGGCTTCCTGCCGACTCCGCTGCTGACTTCATTCGAGCTGGGCTTGTGTTTGCCCTGACAACATGACTTACAAAATTGCTCCAGATTGGGGCTGATTCAAGTCGTTTGGGTCAATATATGGGTCATTGAAGACCTGACCAAAACAGGAGACATTTAGGTCATCCATAGTGCACTCCTTCTAATTGCTTCAATTCCCCACCTTTTGGCTTCTTCTTCTGCTGCTGCTTGTGGTGCCTCAAGTAGAGCAGAGTGGCGCCCAGAAGCAGGACAATGACCACAGCAGCAACAGCAATGCCAATGATCACTCCCACTGACATCCCACCTCCACCTCCAGATGCTGCTGGTGAAGTAGGCTCGCTGCTGCTGCTGCTGCTGCTGCTGCTGCTGCTGCTGCTGCTGCTGCTGCTGTTGCTGTTGCTGCTGCTGCTGCTGCTGCTGCTGCTGCTGCTGCTGTTGCTGCTGCTGTTGCTGCTGCTGTTCGTTGTGATCGAGACTGCACAAGTATAGAATAGAACCAATCTGTCAGGATTACAAGAATTCGCTTACCAACAAAAAAAAAGTGAGGTGGAGCAATGTTCAGACCAAGAGCAAAGCAAAGTGACTATTAATTCGACTCTAAAATTTCAAGACAGTGCAGTGGAGCAGTATTCTAGTAAGCCAAGCAATCAATTCGCACAGGGAAGGATCAGAAAGGAGGTGGATCACTTGCAACGGAGCAATACAAGAACCCGTATCATGACTTTTGACGCGCCTCAAACAAACCCGTACAATGTACCATGATTCAACGCATTTTGAGGCGCCTCAAAATTAGATTCAACGCATGCCTTCGGTTCTCCAAGGCAAAAGAGGTGCTCCCCATGGTTAGACTTGCCTTGTGTCATGCCTTGCATGCCCTGTGAATATTTACATCAATATTGTACTATTCTGGTACAACTTTGTTTCAATCACTTGCCTGCAGGTTTGCCGCACGTCTTGCAAAAGGATTTACACGTGTGGCAAAAGGCTGTGGTCGGATTCTGTGGTGTACCACAGTCGGTGCTGTCAAGTGGGCACGTGAGATTTGTGCCCGTGACATCTCTGCAATGGAAAGAGGGGAGATCAAATCAAAGGGCGGAAGTCATGGGCACCGCCACACCGCACGGACCTTGACCTTTAAAGTTGGCATAAAAATGGGAACAGTGGTGGGGCTAAGTGGGACATAAGGAGGGAGAAAGGCAACAAGCATGAAACTGGAAGAATTCTGCAGTGGAGAAGGGAAACGGCGAGAAGGAGCTTGTGGATGGGTGCACACACGGAAGGCGAATCGGAGGCGGGACGGATGAATGTGAAGATCGTTCTTCACCCACAGACAGACATGGCAAGATGGCTTTTGAGTCGACTCAGAAGTCACCTCGTAACCGTGACGATCGTTCTTCACCCACAGACAGACATGGCAAGAACATTACCGGTACCATCCAAACGAATGCAGGTCACTGATTTACTGCTATTCCTTCTCCTACAAGAGTGCTCTGTTCCAACAAAATGGGTCAGCCTACTTCACCAAACCAAGAGATCCTTTGAGTCCGAGAGGTTTTTTATTTCCATTTGGACAAGCCGGTAATCTGATTATCCTTCATATCTCAGAATTCTGGTGAAAGAGATGGAAGGAGGAAAGTGGAAAAAAACACCGCTCAATACAAGTGTTGATCGGCAAGGTGTACGACCTAGACAATGCAACGATCTCAGTAAAACAGAGCTGAGTAAATAGTGCAACTAGCTAAACGGTTCTTTCAATGTTGTCCACGAGCCAGCCAATCATAGCCAGGGTATCCAAAAATTGTTGCCATGATACTTACAGGTCCTGCAGGTTCGTTAAAGCCCCTAGAGAAGGCAAAATGGTTCCATTTAGGTGATTCCCATCTACATGCCTGACAGGCGAAGAAAAGCAGCAGCCCGGAATGAAGGAGGAGAATGAAGGAGGAGAGAGGGTTATTATACGTTCCAAATGTTGGCAAAACAACGATACAAACCAGTTTTGAGACTTCGCAAATCAACAGAGTTGCCATTGCTCTCCGCATGGCGTTGAGCAATGGGTTTTATTTCAATCCTAGAAATCAATAAAAGCAATCAACGGTCCTTTTGGTTACAGAAACTGTGGCAAGGGATGTTCTGGCCTGCAACACAGCCATTCTTCTAATTTACACAAGTTAAAGTCCCTATGCAGCCCTCTCAAGGTGCTTACCACCCCTCATGCTTAGCACGAGGCTCAAACAAGTTGCTTCGTATTGAGGCATAGACAATAGACAAGGTGCTTGCTTCGTACAGATATTGGAGATTAATAAGCGAGGAGATGCTGTTGGGAATGGAGCCCGTCAAAGCGTTGTCCGAAAGATACCTGTGTGGATAGGTCGGTCGGTAGAAGTGAAGAGATGAGGCTTGTGAGCATATGTTTTTTGAGAATTCTCCAGAGGGAATTCTCCATTGAGAATTCTCAAAAAACATAGGCCAGAGGGACAGCAAGCACATACAAGCGACCCAAGGGGGTCATGAGACGAGGATGGTTCGGAAAGCATTTTGTGGGACCTATAGACAACGGAGCAGAGATCAAGAAAGATACGCACAGATTTTCCAGCTAACTGTGAGGGAGATGCGGGATGGGGGCAAATAGGGTAGAGAAGAGGAGGGAACGAGGGAGGAGATGGGCGCGAAGATGTGGCTGGTGAGGATGTTGGGAAGAGCAAGGGAACCACCTAGTACATGGCTTACAAGTGTGTTAATAAATCGAGGTTTCCAAGTTCAGCTGGAATAGGTCCGGTAAGTTTGTTACCATACAGATCCCTGGTGGCAGAGGAAGGAAGGATGATACGATTGAAAGAAAAACTCTGCAATTTTTTTTAAGAACGAGTTTGGCGTGTAGGCTTTTCCTTCCAGAAGCAATATTGCGTACTACAAGCTGTTGCGCTACCAGGTGAAGCATATCACCACCAGGTGTACCATATAGCTGTTCAAAGGCCAGACAAGCATGCTTGCTTGCGAAGCAGCAGGAAAAGCTTTAGAGACACAACAAACATGAACATCATATATGCATTTATCTTGGCTGTTGACCTTGTGAATATACATGATGCAAGAACCAGGGCAAGATACTTCAGTATGCGCTTCCTACTTACAAAGAGTCTAGCTCAGTAAGCAGAGTGATGGTGTCTGGAATGGAGCCGCTCAAAACATTGTCTTGAAGATAACTGCGTGAGGAGGGTGGGGGATGGCCGGAGGGACAGAAAGAATACACAATTGACCAGGGGGGGTGATGAGGCGAGCATGGTGGAAGGCAGTGTTAAAGTAAAAGTACTAAGTAGGCGTTAAAGCGAGCAGCAGCCAACTTCAAGCAACTCACAGCAAGGACAGCCTTTTGAGGTTTCTAATTCCAGCTGGAATAGTCCCAGAAAGCTGGTTCTTCCACACGTTTCTGCCACAGGGGTGGGAAATGAACATGGCCAATGCTGTTAGTCTCATGCAGAAATGCAGTGAGAGAAATGGAATAGAAACGAGTGATAGTTAGTCGAACCTAACAGGGTAATCAGAAGTGGGACGAACAGAAATATGCACATTGTGTAGCAGGTGGAACGTGGAAGAGAGCACTAGAGATGCAACGATGATGGGCAAGCGTGATAACAACGACACATTATTACGACCAAGGAACATGACCACATACACTGCAACACCCTCCCCTCATTCTTGAAAAGCCACCATAATCGAGCGAGCCATTTCTTCCAGCATCAACCTATCTCAGCTTACAGGTACAGCAATGAAACGAGGTTTCCAATCCCGGCTGGAATAGGCCCAGTGAGCTCACAACCCGACAAAGCTCTGGTTACAAGGGGTGGAAAGTGGTTGTATGTTGCACGCCTTTGTATGAAATGGTGAACACAGGGATGTAGTAACGTCGTATCAGTTGAAAGATAATGCTTGGAGTGGATTCTTGCTAGCGAGTACAGACGCATACATTCGAGCGTCGCGAGAGTGTTGGAGGCGAAAAAAGAGGCAAACATAGGGAGGAGAAAGGAGCTCGGGAGCAAAGATAGAGGCTCGTTGCCAACGTCACATTGCCGCTGCAACATGCATTTCCGACTGTCATCAATAAAAAACGTTCCAAACACGTCCAGTACCAAGCTTCCAGTGCCGAGATTTTTAATGAATGAATGAATGTGCACGAAAAGAACAGCAAATTGATAGTTTCCCCTGAGGTTCTTACAGCTTTCTAAGAGAAGTGAGTAAGGAGATGCTATCAGGTATAGACCCTCCAAGAACCACTTCGTTCAATTCTCTACGGGGGCGGGCGGGTGGGTGAATAGAAAGTCGAGACGTGACACAAGTGATGCGAGGATAGGAAACAAAAGTTATCAAATAATATAAAAGCAACCCTGCCATATAATAATGGCATGACAGGAGGTCCAGTTATCATTCCTGAAAAAATGGCATCACAAAGAGAAGCATACACACACTCACATGTCGGTAATTATGCCTGTATGTTCACAGGTGAGCCCTTTAGCAGTGCTGCAGTCAGCACCAGCAGCCCAGCCTACCAACGTCTGATTCCATGCTTTTTGACAATCTTTGAGAAAAACCGCTGAAAGTTGAGACATGACAGC